CTGACGCTTATGGTAGAACAGAGCAGGACGTACTGGTGATCCCGTCCATGACGGCGACGTACGGCTTGCCGAGGGCGGCGAGGAGGTAGTCGAGCTCGAACTCGCGCTTGAAGAACTCGATTGCGCGCGGACGCGTGGAGGGATTCGCGGCTTGGGTGACTACGCCTGGGTTGGTTGGATTAGGTTAGGTTGAGTTGAGTTGGAGGGGTTAGGGTCAGAATGCTGGAACGAGGGTAAAAGACGCACTGGCGACGTCCCCGCCGGCGCAGAAGGCGCGCCCGTTGCCGCGGCCGATGACGAGCTTGCAGAGGTCGGCGGAGGCCCATTCCTAGCAGGTGGGTTGGTTTGGATCGGTGCGGTTCGCGGAAGGACACGGGCAGGGAGAGCGGGTCAGTAATCAAAGTAATACACAGACAGAGGATCAGAATCGTGGGGAAGGCGAGTACGGAAATGAGGCAGGGCATATCACCGCCCACCCCGCAACAAATAGACACACCTCGATCTTGGGCCGGAGGACGTCGAGCATGGTCTGATCGAGGGCGTTGAGCTTCTTGTCTCGGTTGAGGATGTACGTCCGCGACGAGAGATGCGATTCAAACAGTATAACATCCTGTGCGTTTCACGTCAGTAATTACAGCCGACCCAGCTCAGCTCAGCTCACCTGCGCGCCCGCACTGGAGGAAGCCATGCTCCTGGACGAGAGATGGCCCAGGACAGCGCCGACGCGGGACGCAGAAGAGGACGGGGCCATGGCCGGTAGGCGCGTAGCATACGCCCGTGACAGCATGTCGAGCACCGATGGCCTTGCGCTGGAGACTGACAAAGCGGCGGGGTCCCGCACGCGTCACGGGGTCCGGACCCTAGATTAGGGTTCAACCTTTACCTTGCTGGTCGCAAGGTATATATATCTCGTATATATCTCGTATATATCTCGTGCTGCGGGAATGCGTACACTATTTACCTGTATTTACACATATTTGGCGCTTGTTTGGCATCCCTGCTTGGTGCCACAACTTGAAGGTTGTCTTCTAAATAGCGCGTATACAACAGCCAGGACACTGGATTATTAATAATGCAAATGTATGATTGATTGATATATGGCGAGTATCTGATGGCGGGTGCTAGGATTGCTTCTTCATATCATCATGCAATGAGCACAGTGTTTCGTGGAAACAAAGCCTCAGTCGAAAACCCAGGTGCACGTATACGTGCAGGGGAATGCATAGGCGGGGTCACGTGACTGCAACCCTAGCTCGCGTCCCGCGCAGTGTGTGCCTCCTCTCTCCATCTCAGTCTAGCATAGAGTGGCTCATAGAGCCTCTGTTTTCTGTCTCCTCTCTTCTACGTGTGCATGCACAAGCAGCTTCGCGATTCTCGTGGCCGTTTCAGGACTCATCCCCGTTCTCCTCCATCTGTTTCCCCCTTTGTGCCACTCCCTCCACTTCCACCATCTCCACCACCCCCTATGCCTGAAGAAACACCTCAACTCACTGATCAGGAGCTCACTGAGCTTCGCGCTGTCCCCGAAGCCTTGCAATGTCTCGAGGCTCTGGTTGCTTGAGCACTTTCTGCTGGTGCCACTCCTGGTGCCACACCCGGTGGCAGTGGCACTCCCGGTATGGGTGCACCTCAAGTACCCCCTGTCCAGGCTGCTGGTTTGCACACCCCTGCCTTTGCCACCTTTAACCCCCTTGGTGAGCTTGATAACCCTTCCTCTCCTCACCGTCATTCTGTTGCTTTGTGGTTCCCACGAGTGAAGCAGTCTGTCATTGACAGTATTGTTGATGGAAAGTTTGAGGCAGAGAATCTCGTGAAGCTTCCATCCCGCCCTTCTCATCCTGGCTATAAGCGTGGCCAACCTGTTTTGCTGGATCTTTCCTCTGGGACACTGCGTACCAAGTGTGCCCAGGATGTTTCTTTGACAGAGTCTGGCCTGCCCAAGCCCTTCCTGAAGGCATTCCCCAACTGCCTTGCACTCCTTGAGGCTTGAGGGACTTACATGGGTATCCGATGATAAGCCTCAGGATCGTCTGACCCCCGAAAATGCGGACTCAGCACATCGTACAAGCCCTCCGGAGCTTATTCGACACAGCACTCACACGCCTCTAGGCTTCTATGGGCTCTAAAGAATTGCTCTATTTAGCTCCGGACTTCTGAGCATCCTCGAGGTGTACACGGACCCATTCTGCGATTTATCTCCGCGTACAGGAGCTCCAGAGCGACTTAACCTATGCAACTTTTAGATGAATTAGCTCCGGGGCCCACGGACGCTTCTATCGAGGGGCGTCATCCTCATGCCCACCCTCCAGCACACTCCCCCTCTCGTTTCCATCAAACTACCAAAGGTGTGGACGCATACAAGTCACCATGAGGCCAGCATCAGTCAGCAAGCGGCCGGAGGTAATTAGCACGTGATCGGCGTGTCGCACGGAGTGATGGGACCGCTTGGGTCAGGTGGCGGAGCATCGAGGCAACCTATAGGGGCTGGGACGAGCAAGTGGGAGTGCAAGAGAGTCATATGGTGTATGGTATAACGGCGGCAAGTGCTGAGCAATCCTGTGGGTAGCGGCATTTATTTGTTATTTATCTCCGGACAGTCGCAAAGCCATTCCTGTAGTATAAATTGTACAAAGTAGCGTACAGAAGAACAAGTTTTGCACTTCACCATCTCAGAGAATTAGCATTACGATCTCAGCGACCCTCGAAGTTTGAAAGCGTCAAACTTAGCGAATTATAACCGATCCTAGCTTTGCCAATAGGCCTGACTTGTCGAGTGATTTATCTCCGCCGTTGATTTGATTATCTCCGGTGAGTCCTACATAGTGAAACAAAATTAACCAAGTCTCTCTAGCAATTTCTACCACCGCGGGCACGATCCTACGACAGGTGTCATTGCTTGTGACTTTGATTGCGACTTTTCAGAGATAAATACTCCGGAGCATCAACTAGCATTTGTTTCAGGTGTCAAATTGTTTGTTTTATTTTTCTAGGTCTTCCTATGGACTACCCTACGGCGTCTTACTCCTCCTTTCCCCCTCAAACTATTAAATACCCCTCAGTTGTCTCGGACTGCCTTCACCCATATCACGGGGTTTAGGTTTATTTCTTTTGGTCCTTGGTGATTGTTGTGTGTCAGTGCATATCACCAATCTCTTCTGGACCCCTCTGGTGTTGTTGCTCCTGCCCTATCCATCTATTCAACACACCTCATCACCTTTGCCACCCAATTTGAGTGGCACACTGTGCTCCGCTACCACCTGGACTTTACCAGGGCTCGTTTTCAGGAGACCTTCACACCCTCCCGTTGGATGACCCCTGACCAGGGTCTTGTGGCAACCTGCGTTGTCCATTATCCCCTGGCCCCTGCTGCCACCCAGGGCACCCGGCGCTCTTTGCAGGATCGTATCTCCTCCCCTTCCTCATCCACCTCCACCTCCACCCCTCGTCCCAAGTCTGATGAATGAAAGGCCACTAGGCCTCACTAGCCGGAGGCGTTATCGAGAGACTTAGACACGTAGACGAACGTAGAACGCAGTATGTGATTTAGCACGAGACGGGGGAAAAGAAGATAAAATACAAGCAGAGTTTCGCAGCCTTATAAGGCGAGCGAAACAACAGAATGAACCACATTTGACCAGCCAATCATAGACTCTGATCCCGAAACCTATGACGAAAGCTTCCGTGGATCGACCGATAAGATCGTGGCGTAAGCGCCCACGATTACACTCCTCCCCCCTCAGAAGAATCTTGAGGGCCATCTTGAGGATGACTTTTGAGCCAATCGTCCAGGGCTTGACAGTCTTGTACTTCGCGTCCCGGGAGCCAAGAGTTGTCACGTTCGTCGTAGCCGATCCAGCGAACGAGGTATTGCCAGCCACGCCCTCTTCGACGAGCGTCGATGATCTTCTGGATTTGCCACTCTTGTTCGCCATCTTCAGTGACGATAGGACCCGGCCGTGGGAGCTTGCGGGATGGGAAGAGGTCGTCGTCGTTAGCGTGATACGGGATTAGATGCTTGGCGTGGAACTCGGGGAAGATGTTGGTCGACGGGGGAAGATCAAGGGTGTAGACTGAACGTTCAGGGTGTGCCTCGAGGACCTTGTACGGACCATCAAACCGAGGCATAAATTTAGCAACCCTGAACTCGCCTTTTCTCTTATAGTCCTGTCGTCTGTTCTTTGTAGAGAGTAGGACATAGTCGCCCGGGGAATAGATGTGTTCATGGCCCCTATGCTTGTTTGCGAAGTATGCCTGGTCGATCTTGGACACGAAGAGGTTGTCGCGGGCCTCAGCAACGTCATTATCAAGGCATTGTATAAGCGAATGAGCGTCGACAGTTTCAGAAGACGGAGCAGAGCCAGGGTTGAGGGGTGGAATAACACGGGGAGAGCGACCGTGGCGGAGTCGAAAGGGGGTGTAGCCTGTAGATGTGTTTAGCGTGTTCATAATAGCAAAACGGATACGGGGGAGGGACTTAGCCCATCCTGTTTGGAGGCGATCGACATGGTACCGAATGGACTGGTTGACCGTTTTGTTGGTGTGCTCACTCGCGCCGTCTGTCTCGGGGTGGAAGGCGGTGGACATCTTCAGCTTGATCCCAGTCATTTTGGTAAAAGCCGCCCAGAATTTGGACAGGAAGAGGTGGTCGCGGTCGCTGACGATGTCGAGCGGTAGACCATTCTCGCAATACCAGTTGTCAAAGAAAACGACGGCGAAGGCCTCTGGGGTGATGTCTGTCTTGATAGCAGCAAGGCGGATGTCCGAGCCGAGACGATCAGTGAACATTGCTATGGAATTCATTCCATGGTCTTCCGGAAGGGGACCAATGAAGTCGATGCCAACGGAATCACATCGTTTGTCGGGGACAGGGAGGGGGTGTAGAGGACCTGTAGGTTTGGACGTACGATCTTTGTTGCGCTGACACGAAAGACAAGATGGGAGGTACGCAGCTTCGAGATCTCGCCTCATGTTCAGCCAGTAATAGGCATCCCATAGTGAGGTGTAAGACTTCTCGAAACCGAAATGGCCGAGAGCATCGTGCGCGAGTTGGTAGCGTCGAGCTTCTCCAATCGATCTCGGACAGTAGTGATGATGTCGAACTCCTTAAGAGGTTCGCAATGTGCGTCGACAGCAGCACGGCGTGTGCCACCTTGAGCCTTTAGCTCAGCGACAACATTGTTGCGCACTGGCTTATAGTCACGCGGTGGTGGAGGAGGGGTAACGCGAGCTATCGGATTTAAAAGGTCATAGCCACAAGACTTGTCTATGCATGTACGATCTTCATGATCAAGAACGAGATGGTTATGAGAAAGGAAAGGTCCACCAAGAAGGATATCGAAACAAAGGTTTGGTACGACAACGGCTTCGAAACGGCAAGAGTGCCAGACATTATCAGAAGAAGAAAGAGACATTTTGACCGAGTCTATAAGTTCATACTCCACGGGGGGTCCTTGGGACATAGCAAGCGTGCAACGGATAGGGCATTTCATACGGCAGGGAATCAGGCCCATTCGCTGTACGAGATGGTTCGAGATTAGTACCATGTGGGCACCGCTATTGAGCAAGCCCGAAATGGGAACAGGAAAGTCATGGGCAGGGCCCAAAACAAGGCAAGAGAAGGTAAAATGAGGGGTAGAGATGGGTGCGCACTCTGGTTCCGAATCTGATCCATCTCCCAACACACAGGACGGCATGATAATGGCAACCGGGCGTGCAGGCTCGTCATCGCTAACGTCTTCGACGCCGGAGGTGTTGACAGCTGCAACCGGTCGTGTAGAACGATTGGCGGGGGCCCGAGCCAGAGGCCTTGAGATGGGCTGGGACGTCGGCCTCCGTGAGCGGCTTATACTTGAAGGGGTCCGGGCGTTCCGTACACGTTGCGCGCCTGTGGTTAACACCGAACTTTCGACAATTGAAACAACCGCTATACTTCATTAACAGCGCTCGCTCGCTGTCTGTGAGACCGGGGAGCCTAGGTTTGTTGTCACCGAAGGTCGTAGACGGTCGAGAGGTGTACGTCGTCATTGACGTGGAGGACGTCACCACCGGGGGACGCAGAATATTGCGTTGGCCTTGACGATGGACCGCGTCAGCGATGGCGTCGTTCTGGCTCCATTTGTCGTGGGCACGTTCCTCGTCGAGCAGGCGGACTGTGTTGATCCACAGTTTGAAGGCAAGGGCCTTGAGTTCCCGGGTGTCCTTCTTGCAGTACCGCTTGGTCTCGCTGTTCATGTGTGCCTCGAAGTGGAACCTGAGGCTCTGGTCGGTGAGGTGGGATTTTGTGCCTTTGAGTAAGGAGTTTGTGGACTGGATACGATTTACCCAGTTCCAGAATAGCTCGGTGCCCTGGGCTGACTTGAGTATCTCTTCTCGTAGGTCATCCTCCCAGTCGTCGCGCAGGTAAAGGCTCTTCATCTCCGCGATGTAGGCGTCGAGGGTGAGTTGATCAATGCGGTGATAAGCCTCAGGATTGTCTGACCCCCGAAAATGCGGACTCAGCACATCGTACAAGCCCTCTGGAGCTTATTCGACACAGCACTCACACGCCACTAGGCTTCTATGGGCTCTAAATAACTGCTCTATTTAGCTCCGGACTTCCTAGCATCCTCGAGGCGTACACGGACCCATTCCGCGATTTATCTCCGCAAACAGGAGCTCCGGAGCGACTTAACCAACGCAACTTTTAGATGAATTAGCTCCGGGGCCGTGGGCACTTCTATCGAGGGGCATCGTCCTCATGCCCACCCTCCAGCACTCACTCCCCCTCGTTTCCGTCAAGATACCGAAGGTGCGGACGCATACGAGTCACCATGAGGCCAGCGTCAGTCAGCAAGCGGCCGGAGGTAATTAGCACGTGATCGGCGTGTTGCACGGAGTGATGGGACCGCTTGGGTCAGGTGGCGGAGCATCGAGGCGACCTATAGGGGCTGGAAAGAGCAAGTGGGAGCGCAAGAGAGTCGTATGGTGTATGGTATAGCGGAGGAAAGTGCTGAGCAATCCTGTGGGTAGCGGCGTTTATTTGTTATTTATCTCCGGACGGTCGCAAAGCCATTCCTGTAGTATAAATTGTACAAAGTAGCATACAGAAAAAGAAGTTTTTCGACTTCACCATCTCAGAGAATTAACGTTACGATCTCAGCGACCGGAGAAGTTCGAAAGCATCGAACTTAGCGACTTATAACCGATCCTAGCTTTGCCAATAGGCCTGACTCGTCGAGAGAAATATCTCCGCCATCGATTTAACTAGTTCCGGTGAGGCTCACATAGCGAAACAAAATTAAGCAGCTCTTTCTAGCGTCTTCTACTCCCGTGAGCCCGAACCTACACTCGGTTCCGTGGTTTGCGACTTTGCTTGCGCCGTTTCGGAGATAAATACTCCGGAGCGTGCATTAGTGTTTGTTTCAGGCATCAAGGTTTTGTTTTATTTTTCTAGGTCTTCCTACGGACTACCCTACGGCGTCTTACTCCTCCTTTCCCCCTCAAACTATTAAATACCCTTCAGTTGTCTCGGACCGCCTTCACCCATATCACGGGGTTTAGGTTTATTTCCTTTGGTCCTTGGTGATTGTTGTGTGTCAGTGCATATCAGCGGTCTTGGTCCGAACGGTACCAGTCCGCCAAGCGGTCGTCTTGCATACCCCAGGCCACGCGACTAACCTGCTTGTCGGCGTCGAGTTCCTTGTGCATGGCATACACGCGGCAGGCGTGGTACCATTTGCGAAGGATGACAGGTGTTAAGTCGCCAGGCGTGAGGACAGGGGGAGACTTCGGCGTTGGTTGCTGCACCGCTGCGAGACCGGTGTCGTTGATCGGCATTGTCGTCAGAGGGGCTTCGTCGTCCGAGCTCGATGAGTCGGAGGATTCGGCGCTCGGCGTTGGCGACGGTTGCGGTGGGGGACTAGGTGGTTGAGGGGAGGGTGAACGGGATCGTCCAAGGCCGTGATCAGTCAGGTCTTCTGAGCCGCGTCCGGTGGGTGCTGATGACAAGCTCGATGACGGGGTACAGGGGCAGGATTGTTGATCCAATGGTGCGGGCGCAAGACGAGCGCGAATTTCCCCGCAGGTCGAGACACGGGCAGGGATCACGGGGAGACTAGGGGGGGACGACAGTTTGACTGGGGGACTGGGTGGGGACGTACAACTTGGTTCCTTCGGGGATTATTACTGCGAAGGAACGTTCAAAGAAAGTGAAAGGCCGCTAGGCCTCACTAGCTGGAGGCGTTATCGAGAGACTTAGACACGTAGACGAACGTAGAACGCAGTATGTGATTTAGCACGAGACGGGGGAAAAGAAGATAAAATACAAGCAGAGTTTCGCAGCCTTATAAGGCGAGCGAAACAACAGAATGAACCACATTTGACCAGCCAATCATAGACTCTGATCCCGAAACCTATGACGAAAGCTTCCGTGGATCGATCGATAAGATCGTGGCGTAAGCGCCCACGATTACAATGAAGTCTGTTTCTGCTTCAATCAACCCCAAGGGTGCGGTGCTGGTGTGAAATGCTTCCGACACCATGTTTGCCTGAAGTGTAAGGGTGAGCACTCCCAGGATGCTCCTAATGCCCCCTGCCATGGCAAATAGGGCTTGCTACAGGCCCACCGCGTGGACCCGGCCCATTCCACAGCTTTATACCCTGGTTCTCCCTCTATGGTCGCTTTATCCTCCTCTCCTGCCCCCTTCTTCTCCCTCCTGTTCGTCCCAACACATCTATTACTTTCCCAATCTATTCTCCCTCACCATCCCTCCCTGCTGGCCCTCTCCATGCTGATGCCTTTGCTTATTTCCTATGGGATTATCCTGATCGCACTTTTGTGGACGCCATTGTAGGGATGTGTAAATATGGTGTACGTCTTGGCTATACTGGCCCTCGTGGTGGTCGACCTTTCTCTCGCAATCTTCCTTGTACAGCTGAGGAACACCAGGCTGTCTCTGAGGATATGCGCCGCCATGTTAGGACCGGGGAATCTGCCTGTTTGGAGGACACTGACTTCTCTGCTGATGAAGTCTTCTTCTCCCCTATTGGTGCGGTCCCCAAGTCTGATGGGGGTTATCGTGTTGTCCATCACCTCTCCTACCCCCAACACTGTTCTGTGACTGACTTCATCTCCCCTGACCTTCCTACATTGCACTATGCTTCTCTGGACACCTTAATCCAGTGTTTGCGCTTCATGGGTTCTGGTTCCTACCTCTGGAAGGTGGACTTGAAGGGTGCTTTCCATCATATTTGCATCTCCCATGATGATATTCCCCTCTTGGGCTGGATGTGGGAGGGGGTTGGCTATGTGGACCTCCACCTTGGCTTTGGTGGATGCCCTTCCCCTTATCTCTATAACCTTCCTGCTGAGGCTGTTCACTGGACAGCTGAGCGCCTCTCTGTCTGGCTGGAGCACTATCTTGATGACTTCTTTGGGGCCCGTGGTCCCTTGGAG